ATCCAACGGATCACGACGAATACACTTCTTGCAGTCGTGCTAAAATTTTTAATAGAGATGTTAAAAACGTTCAAAGTTTAGAAGATATGAAACGTATTATGTTATATAACGATTACCAAAACGATGAATTTTCTAAAAACGATCCAAAAGAATCTATTGCCTCTCGTTATGATCTTCGTGCTGATAAACCAAATGCTTTTGGAGCTATTGATGCTAAAATAGTTTCTACTTCTAATCCACATCTCACTTATGCTATTTCAGGACCAACCCATCAAGGACAACCAGTTTTTGAATGGACTGAAAAATTTAAAAATGTTCATGTTGGAGTACCAGAAAAATTTAATTTTGATTGGGTGGAGATTAATGACAAGCAATAATCACAATTTTTTTATTTATTTTGTTATTTTTTTTTAGTTTTATAACTTATTAATTATACTGTGTCTATCATGACAAAGCTACCTCATTTCAAATTGATCATCTTCTTCTATTTTTCATTGTCTTATTCATTCACACAAAACTTCAAATTTATGTCGACAAAACAAGCTGATCAATGTGATGGAATTGAATGTAAAACATATGATAAATTCTCATTTAAAAGTAATTACTTGGATTGTTCAAATGATCCAGGAACAACTCTATTTGATGAATTGACATTTGATTTAATTCTTCCGCCACGAGCATTTATTACATCACAAGAACTTTTAATGAATGTTTCAACATATTATGATGTATATAGTCCACCAACTAAATTTGCGTTATTAATTAATAATAATCCAACACAATTCACTATATCAGCAGAAACCTGGAATGACCAATGTGAATCATGTGTGATAAAGAAGACATTTATTCTTTCACCATTTGGAAACACTTTTATTAATGGAACTAACTCAATGAAACTGACTGGGTATTCTAATCTTGTTTGTGTAAGTGAAATAGAAATTACCATAGTATATCGTATTCTTTATCCAATAATTACCCGTATAATTCCTAGCTTAGGCCCCATTGAAGGAGGAACAAATGTTTCAATTATAAGTAAGTTAATGTATCCAGAGTATCGTTATTTGTGTTGTTTTGATGAAGAATGTAGTCCAATGTTACCAGCAAAAGAAGAAGTAGGAACATGCCTATCACCAGAAGGATTAAAGAAAGGAGATTCATTTATTTCAGTGAGATTTCGGGATTTTGGAATTGATGAACAGTACCTTGTAAATAAAGATATTGTGTTTACATATTACAATATTACATTAGTAAATGCATCAATTATAGAAAATGTTGGAAGATATTATTTAATGGTTGGATGTGAAGGAATGGTAACAACAGAAGGTGCGTTATGTAAAATTACTGACAAAGAGAATTCATTAAATTCAACAATTTTAAAAGGAAAAGTCCAAGGTGGAAATGTGATTTGTATTTTCCCTGAAACATTTAATATTGAAGAAGAAGAAGGAAAAATATATTTAATAACAATTTCTATTAATCTCATTGATTATTGCAAACAACAACTTGAATTTGTTATTCATGATGATTCACCTCATGAATCACGTAGTTATTTAACTGTAGTAGTTGTTGTTATCTTTGGAGTGTTATTAGTTGGAGTTGTTATAGGATTTTTAATATTTAATAAAGCAAAAAAGAAAACTGAAGATGGAGAATATATTAACCCAGATGAAGTTGTATTAGAAGAAATTATGGGATCAGGAAGTTATGGAGATGTTTATTCTGCATTATGGAGAGGACAAGAAATTGCAGTTAAATTAATTCCAACAAAAAATATGTTACAAGACAGTGTTCTACAATTTACTAAAGAAGTCCAGTTAATGAAAAAATTAAGACATCCGTGTGTACTTCAATTCTTTGGAAGTGGGACAGATGCTAATTTTATTCTTATTGCTATGGAACTTATGAGAAGAGGGTCAGCACATACACTTTTAATGAACAAAACTCTTCCAATAAATTGGGAAAGAAGATTAAAAATGTTAAAAGATGCAGCAAGTGGAATGTTTTATCTTCACTCGTTAACACCACCAATTATTCATTTAGATTTAAAGTCTCATAACTTATTAGTTGATGATAATTGGAAAGTAAAAGTAAGTGATTTTGGATTAAGTATGACATCAATAGAAGGTCTTCATTCAAACTCTGTTTGTGGAACATTAGCCTGGACAGCTCCAGAAATGCTTAAAGGAAAACCTGTTAGTACAAAAGCTGATGTATATAGTTATGCAATTGTTATGTGGGAATTCTTAGCTCGAGCTGACCCTTATCCTGATATTCCAAGATTCCATTTAATTGAAAAAGTAGGAGAAATTGGAATTAGACCTGACATCCCTCAAAATAACCATATAGCATACTGTGAACTTATGCAAAGATGTTGGGAAACTCGTCCTGAAGATAGACCTGATTTTTCTGAGATATTGGTTTGTTTAGATGAATTTATTAAAGAAGAAACAAATAAAAATCTTATTTCAGAAACTCCTTCCCTTTATGAAGAGGATGAAGAGTAATTTATTGCTTGTTATAATAATACTATTTTTATAGTTTTTGTTTAATAAAATTATTTTATAGTTTTTTTGATAGAAAAAAATCATAAATGATGATAAGATAGTTAATTTTTATTAAAAATATAATAAATATATAGTAAAAAAAAAAGAACTTAAAAAGAAAAAAAAGAAAAAGGAAGATTTTAATGTCTTGTTGTGGAACAAACCATGATGAATTGATTGATATCAAAAACGATGAGTCACGGACATTACCTCTTTCTCAACAATTATCAAAAGGAATTAAAATTGTTGTACTTGGTGAAATGGCAACTGGAAAAACTTGTATTTTACATCGATGGATAACAAACGAATTCACAAATCAAACAGCCACTGTTGGGTGTGCTTTTAATACAAAAACAATTTCTTATAAAAATAAAATCATCAAATATGAAATGTGGGATGCTGCTGGACAAGAACGTTATCGTTCACTATCACAAATTTATTATCGAGATGCTACAGTTGCACTTCTTGTATATGACATTACTCGTTTGGTTTGTTATTGGAAATTCTCAAATAATAATTAAAATAATATATTTATTGTTTGTAGGAAACATTTAATGCAGTAACTGATTGGGTTGCTGAATTAAAACAAAACACTTCTAATAATGTAATGATTATGATTATTGGTAATAAGTCTGACTTAAAATCTTCTCGTCAAGTAAATTCTGCTTCAGTTAATGAATTTATTCATTCGTCTAATTCAAATATCATTGGAAATATCGAATGTAGTGCTATGACTGGGGAAAATATATCTGTTATCTTTGATACCATATCGGATAAACTGTTATCCTTATGTTAAAAACATGTTTTAATTTATTTCTTTTTATCATTTTGTGATTTTGATACAATCTCCAGATATAGTTTTAAAATAGTTTTATATTATATTTTATAATAAAATGACAATGCCTCAATCTTTGGAATTTAAATGAGTAAAATTCCAGAGAAAGAAGAGAATCTACAAAATGTAAATCATGGGAATTACTGGATTAAAAAGTATTGTAAACACTGTTTGTAGAAAAAGGACACTTAAAGAATTAAAAGGAATTCGTGTTGCTATTGATGGGTATGCTTGGCTTCATCGTGCTTCTGCTTCATGTTCTGAAGAACTTTGTGAAAATATTCCAACAAATGGTCTGTCATCGTTTTGTGTGAAAGGGGCATTGACATTACTTAACAATGAAATTACTCCAATTTTTGTTTTTGATGGAGCTCGTTTACCATCAAAAATTACTACAGAAAATGACAGACAACAAAAAAGAAATGAAAATTTAAAAACTGCACGAGACACTACAATTAATATTACCGAAAGGAAAAGGGCATATGGTCAAGCAGTTGAGATACTTCCTTGGATGGCAAGTGCAGTTATTCAAAGTTTAAATGAAATTGGTGTTGAGTCTATTGTAGCTCCTTTCGAAGCTGACCCACAACTAGGTTATCTGTGTAAAATAGGATATGTTGATGCTATTATTTGTGAAGACAGTGACCTTATAGTTCATGGATGCAAAAGAATTCTATTTAAATTCAATAAATTTGATGAAACAGTTGAAGAATTTTTGTCAAGTGATTTAGACAAAACTGATTTCAAAGGTTTTACAAGAAATATGTTAGTGTATTCTTGTGTATTAGCTGGGTGTGATTATTGTAAAAATATTTCAAAGGTTGGTATTAAAAAAGCAATGAAAATTATTAAATCTGAACCATCAATCTCAAAGGCATTAATTAAACTTATTGAAACTCATGGAGCTGAACTAGATACAAAGGAAAAGAAAATTGAGTATTTAACAAATGTCAGAAATGCCATATTTACATTCAATTATGCTTATGTTTATAATCCAGTTGATCAAGAAGTTGTCAATTTAAATGAAGTCCCTGAAGAATTAAGTTTTATGGTAGATGAAATTCTTGGAATAAAACCAAATAAACAAATTGCACAAGACATAGCAAATGGAACGGTTGATCCAGATACTCACAAACCATTCGAGCAATTCATTGATCTTAATTTATTTGAAAAAGCAATGAGTTTGAGTACAACATTAACTTCTTATACAACAGGGTCAATAAAAAAATTTCATCAAGTTGAACCATCTTTCAATTCCTATGAATTGGATGACTTAGAACTATTTGACATTTTTGAAATTATTAGAAATGAAAACCATAAAACAATAAGGTCAAGAAAATCAATGTTACAAAAATATGATTGTGAAGAAGACTTTAATGAAAACGAAAATGCTGGAATTGTGACGATGAAACAATCACGAAAACGTTCAAAAAATCAACCTAAACCTATATTAAGCATGACCAATCTTAATTTTAAACCAAATCTTAAAACCTCTTTCCCATTAACTGATGAAGAGCTCCAAACAATCAAACCAAAAAGAAAGATTGAAAACAGTTACATTTCTTCTGACTTTGATTTATTTATTCCAAGTTTCGATATGTATTATATGATTAACCAATTAAAGTGAAGTTTTTCCCATCTAATTTTACCACTTTTTGTTCTTGTTTTTGTTAATGAAAATGAATTAAGGATTAGTGAAGTAAAAGAAAAATATCAATTAACAGAAATATAATAAAAAGAACTATTAATTTAATAATTTGTTGCAATAGTCAGTAATTTCACCTGCATCATTTCCATAAACATTTAAGATTTCTTTTACTGATTTCTCAATTGAAGGTGTTTTGGGTACTTTGCAAAACAAAACAAGAAGAACGAGAATAAGGAAATCATATTTTTCCAAATTACTTTCATCTTGAATCAATATTTCTTGATGAGAAATAATCCATGGAATGATTTGGTTGTTTGCAAGTGAAACAATAGAAGGAACAAGTTCATTTGAAGAATCGACTTCAGAAATAATATGAATAAGAGAATACAATGACTCGACATTTTCTGGTGTCAATTCATTAACTCTTTTCATAAATTCAATAACTATATTTCCAAGTGTATCTATTTCATTTGCATTAATTAAATGTAATTCACATAATCCAAACAAA